GGCATTGCAAGCAGTGGGACGTGGCCTGGGTGGAGGAGCGAAGAAGGATAGGTCGGCAGCCGCTCGCAGGAAGTGGAGTGGCCCGCCCGCAGCCAGCGTCGCAGGAGCCCTTGCAAGCAAGCACCTGAGGCACTCTAAGACTCGAGTGACTAAGGGCATCAGCGTGCATGACCTCCGGTCTCAATCTGCAGATTGCGAAAGCCCTTGCCAACCTGCAGCACTTTATGCTCCAGTGCCCTGCCGTCAGCTGGGCAAAGTACTTGACAAGGCGCCACAGCGGCAAAGCGTGGAGACGCAGGCCGGCCGCCAAGGAAGAAGAAGTGTCAGCATGTGACAGGCCGTAAGCCTGCATTGCTACATGCGAAATCATTGCAGGCAATGGCGGGAAGTTCTGAAGTCGAGCTGCTGACATCAGTTGACATCCCACGACAATGACATCAAATACTGCAAGTGGAACCGGCAACATAGCCTCCACATCATTCACCCGCAGGTGAGGCGCTGGATGATGCAATGAGGTGAGAAACGTCACAAGGTGCAGAAGCAGATTCTCATCCTCCTCCAACGGTCAACCCTGGGCATTTGCTGCGACCGCAAGGCTCAAGTTTCAAACGCATGGCCCCATTGGATCTGCGGAGGCTGTCTCAAAGCATTAAATTACAGCTGGCAATGCCTTGGCCCGGACTCATCGCGTTCTCAGAAAGGTAGCAACTTGTTCTGCAAACTCGTGCAAAATCCTATTGAAGAGCATATCACGCGTTGCATCCGACAAGTGCACGCAAGCAATGGGGAACTGTTTCACATACCAAGCCAATAGCATCTGATCTCCATGCCATGCTGATTTGCAATTTCTTGAAACCAAGGCTTGGGAAATAATATTGAAATCCAAGAATTAAAAGGAACTGTCAAACGGCACCTTGGGGTGGAATTCGTTCTGCACCCAGCTGCGACCAAACTAAACGGAAAGGATATTAAGAATATAATATGATACGCCCGTTTGTCAGTACATCCTCCAATTCCAAATATCCGATTGCTGGCGCCGAACCCTTGCGTCCTGCGCAAAGCGCTCGGTGGCCTTCACTAGAACGTGCTGGATCTGGCCTTGGCATGGATCACGCCAGCCAAAAAATGACACTCGACTGACATATTCTTACGCATGCTCCTGTTTGCAATGACGAAGATTTCAGTAAAGCCTCTTGCATCAGCCAGGACACTTGCCAGCACAGCATCTGCTAGCTCGCCCCTGTGCCGAACCAACTCTGCAGTGCGCTGCTCCAATGTCACCCCATCCTCCTCCTCCGACAGTGGCATGGCCATCGTGCAGCTATTTGAAATCATGGTTTCGACACATCCCCATGGAGTAGTCATGAAAGCACCTGATGCTCTGCCGTGGTTGACCCCTACCAAGCCCTTTGAATCCAGGACCCGTTAAATCCTCGTCCGCAAATACCATGGCTGGAGAAGCGAGCCTCAGAGTGAGGGCATCAACTGTTGATTGATTTTTCTACAAAGAACAAACAAACGCAATCTCGTCAAGGCCCAAGTCAGCAAACCCCATCTTGCTGCAATTGCTGCACAGGTGGCTGGAGCACGGATCCAAGCACTGCCATCTGCAGTGTGGGCAGCCTCACATTCACGGACATCGGTATCCGAAAGGAAAAACCGCCAGCATCGCCAGCATGTCAAATCTCCTGCACAATCTCTGATCTGCGTCGCCGTGGCTCCTGCGGCAGGGGCAGATCTCCATCCCAGGCATCTATAGTCAGCACGCCCCTTGCCAACACCTGGGTGCAACAAAGCTCTTCCCCTAGCTGCTGAGATCCATTGCAACTTGTCTGAGGCGAGCCACCAACGCCCAAAGGGGATCTCCCGAAGTCCAGTTGCTCAGCACTTTAGGGCTGGAAAGCTGCTGGTGCCCTACAGCTCGCCCTAGCATCGCGAGGATCCAGGCGCACCTCGGGTTCTTTGGAATTGGCTCATGCTGAAGAATGATGATAACATATGAGAACAACTCAAATGTCAACTGGCGCGGCTTTTCTTTCGCAGCTGAGCCACAGGGCTTGAAGCGCTTGCAGCATGGCATCAGCGCAGTCTGGGTCAGCCCGGCTAAGCCGAAGGAAGACATGCGCCGCGCAGCCGTCCAGCTGCGCGCTCAAATCCTCGCAGGGCACGGAGTCACGGGGAGCCACAGAGGATTGCAAGGACCCCACCCCTGGCACGTGTGTTCACTCTCAGAATGCCTTGCACACCTTGATAGCCTGAACCTGCAAAGCAAGGTGGAAAGCCACTGCTGTGCCTCAAGCAGTGGTTGCCAGTCCCCAGGGCAGCTCTGCATGCCCTCTGCGACGCAGGCAATCCCAAGTGCCATCGCCTGCGTGCAATTCAGTAAGTCGCAAGATGCAACCAAACATCAAATGCAATGTGGATGACTGATGAATAGGTGCCCCCCCCAGGTCTAGTACTGATTTCGTATTGCTTTGCTAGCTTGGTATTGGCTTAGGCCTGGAAACGTTATCTCATGTGTTTGCTTGCGCTGCCTCGCTTGGGAACCCCTTTTTCAATTTTAGCATTGAGCTGGCTGAGCTTGGGGGATGGGTGTGAATTGCAGAGATCTTCTGACTTTCTCAGTACTCAGAAGAAGAAAAAACGCTTGGAACGTGGCAGGACTTGTTTGAGAGACAAACATTTTTGGGGGTACGAATCATTCTGGCAAAACGTGAACCGATTGATGAATCGCATGCTTTCAGGGTATGCGGATTGCGTGCTCACTGCCCACGACAATCTGGCCCATCACAGGTATGTGTCAGTTGGTAGGAAAATCATGGACTCATAGGGACACTTGAGGCGTGAATTCGCGCACCTGCGCCACGACAACCTCGAAGTCCCACGAAACATCTGCGGCGCAGGTCTCAGGCACCCCAACGGCAATGCGGTCAGCCTGGGCTCGGCCCAAGCAATGGGGAGAAGGCCGCACTGATGCAAATGATCTTCGCAGAAACGCCAGCAACTGCCAATTATTCACCCACTTGCCGCCTTCTCAACTATGGCCTTCGATTGGCAAACTAATGGCCGCATGCCGAGAGTCCGCATCGCCGCCCACCGCGAGCGCCAGCTTGAGGGTCTGCTGTGCCAGTGCTGCCACCTCTCCTTGACCGCCGTGAAGGCCTGCACAAGCAGTCACATCCCAGTTTTGGGAAGCAGAGTCTCAAGAAGAAAACTGCCTATTTCATCCGGGTACCCATGCCTTGTTGTGTGTGTGTTTGTGCTGGTGCTTGTGCTTGCGTTTGGGATTATGTTTCTGTTTGTCTGTATCAGTTTCGTGCAAGATCAGGTAGCATTGAAGAGAATTTGAACCACGGGTTTGTAATTAGCTTCACATGTTCAGGACACCCCCTCGGTCATACACAAGCAAAGCTTGAAGCACGCACAGCCAATGGCGCGCGCTGCTTCAAGCAATAAAAAGCTCGTCCCGTGCCATCACGCACATGCTCGCATTGTGATGAGCACACCCAAGTCAAGCACAGCACCAGCAGCGTGCACAGTTTCAAACATGATGGATAGCAAATGGACGTCTTTACAATAAACAGCTGGCTGGGAGGACACCATGGTTCATCCTCGGCATTCCTCGGCTGAGTGAGCGCGTGTTCACAGGGGTTTGGCGAGCGAGCTTGCCTGCGCCAAGAAGTCACAGCAGTTCTTGCCAGTCGTGTAACCCTTGCTTTGAAAAAGGTCTCGGTTGACCCGAGAGCAGGTTAGGGAGGCTAACTGCAGTGGAGAATAGCCTTCTGCATTGTTTCCTAGCTGAAAAGCAGGCACTATTGGTGGCTCGGGTTCTGTGTCTTTAGCATGCACGGATTGTGCCGCTTCTCAGTTCACGGCGGAATAAAAGCTGTGTTCCTAGTTGGCAATTAGCTGAAGTGGCGCGCGGAGAGCTGGTTTGCAAACCAGGGCAATGAGCTTTGGACACTTTCTGGAAACGCTGCTACATGAGGATGCGATGCCAGACGAGGCATCGCAAATGCTTCATTGCGCCCTCCATGCACCCAACCCCCACAACCCCAAGCCATCTGCCTGCATCCGCCAGGCACCGCAAGGCGTCGGCCGCTTCCGGCCCAGCAAGGCGCCGCAGCTCCTTCCGAGACCGAAACGGTGTCTCACAATGGACAACGTGTGGATCATTTGTCATTTGAACTTTGCAAGGAAGGTGAGCACTGTCTTTGTAGCTTGTTGGAGGACATGGGGGTGAGGGGAGGCCGCTGTTGGCTCCTAAGCACCCTCCTTAGCTATGAGGCGATTGCTAAGGAGTGCAATCGTAAATCGAGGAAGACAGGCGGAGTGATATCCAGGGGTCAATGTTGGCTTGCTCCTCTTGCTTCGCCTGTTGCTGTTACTTCTTTCGTGGAGACGTTCAGTGTCTACACGGCTCACAACTGCCAGCATTCGGCGCCTCGCCAGCGGCCAATTGAAGCAGAGCTGCGGCCGGGCACGCCATTCTCGGCAAGGCTCCTGAGTGACGCAAAAGCCCTCACCCTCATTGGCCAATCCCAGATGCCTAGACGCGGTACGCAAATAATTCAAATTTGTGCACGCATGCCACGTTTTCTCCAAATTCCTCAAACATCTTGTCAAGCGCAAGTCCGGCTTGTGCACCCACGTGCTTTTGACATGTAAAACATGCACCCCAGCCAGGCCTCATCCAGCGGAGGCATGCCCCATCCAGCTCCGCTTCCCAAGCAAATACAAGGCCAACAGCTGCCAAAATCTTGTCTGGCTGGACGCTGAATGTTGGCGGCTGCTGAGTGTCTGTTGTCTGCTTGTTGGCTTCTGGCTAGGTCTGGTGTAAACTTGGATTCTGCTTGCCGCTTGCAACACCGAAGACTCTAACAGTACCTCACGTGAACGACCTCTGGCACGTCAACGACCCCTGAACCTGACATCTCCACACAGAGACCATTCCAGCCCTTGCAAAAGCCATCATCAAAAGCGCCGCATGAGGCCAATACCCAGGTGATCGCATCTTCCTTGCCCCGTCGTCTAGACACCTGGTCTGCACCCAGCCCTCACAAATTCGCAGGCCCGACACTCTGGATCTGTCAAACCCAAGCTGACGCGCCTTGATCAGACCTTTCCGGTCGGCTTCCTGTGCAACTGCGGCCGGGTCCCAACTGGGGGAAGCAAAAACGAGCCGCGGACGTCCAGGAGGTCGGAGAAGTCCCTGGAGGACCTAGCCAAAGCTGCCAGCTTGCAAAGCAAAAATGGTTTCTCTAAATCAGGGACACTTCAAATGGGGTTCCGCTGTTGCGTTTCCTTGACGCACCAAAAGGCGGCCAAAAATGCCGACACACATTCCCTGCAATGTTCATCGCAAATGGCATCCTCACGGCTAAGCCCCTGTCAGATTCAGCATGGCGTCTGCAAACCTGCTGCGTCAAGCCACGCAAAGGAAACACATCACACAAAGAAAAGGTAAGAGAGGATGTGCTGGTGCACCAACTGGCCGTACGGGGCACTCAATAACCATTCATACCCATGAGCCTATGCAAACCCCATGCCTGCTCCGGCAACCCTGCCTCTGCTGCATCTTTTTCAAAATCACCTCAGCTCCACAAAACAGCCCTCACGCCCATTGAACGGCACTCAAGTGGCCCCCGAGTTGGTTGAATGAAAACAGCAATTATCTGCGCACACCGCTGTACTTCTACCATTGATTTGGCTGCCATTCGGCGGCCCCGCAATGGCCAATGGTTCGAAGCCATATCACATGTGAATTTTAACTTCTAAGCATTCATGTTAGCGAGTCGGTATGCGTCTGCATCACGGCATCCTTAGTTAGTTAGCGGCAAAGCCAGGGAGACTCTCGAGCCAATGAATCAAACGCAAACAAGCACGCAGTGAGTAGGCGACAAGTCAAGCAACAACGAGGCGTTGTCAAAATATCCCTTTCACGTATGCACCACGCGAACTTGAGACAAAGCAAAGACTCGCCTGAATGCCAAGCGCGTCGCAGATGCAAAAATGGGAAGGTCGCTCTTCAGCCCACCCTCGCAAAGGTCCTGCGCTGGAAGAAACTAGGATTGACTGGACATCAATAAGAGCATAGCCGCCCCGAAGAAGTCTGAACGAACATCTAGTATTAATAAGCCATCTGAATTTCCACGCGGCGGCAGCTCATTGCAATGGCCTGCAGCGCCTCATCAAACATCTGCAGGCCTGGGGCAAATACAGCTCTCAGGTGAAACTGCACATGCGCCCCAGGTCGCCCGTCTGCCACCGCACGGAGGGCAACGCAGGGTGCCAAAACACAACGGGGAGCCAAGGCTCCAGCAATCCACCCGTCCAGATTTCGCAGGTGCCAGCACTGCCCGGCGCGAACCTGGGCCATGGTTGGTATAGGTCACTTTGGTCAATCAGCCAGCTCCCATCACTGCCACATGGCACACTTCTTAAGAAAAAGTGTGCAAGGCCATCCACTCACAACCCCAATGCGCCGACAAGTGCTGTGGATAGACAAAACTGCGCCAGTTGTCAGTCGGGATGGATGACGCAGTACGTATGAGAACTGCACCATCCACCTACCAACTAGTGCAGGACTTTGTCCATCCAGAGTACTGCAAAACCACATCTGATGTAGACTGCCAGGAAGGGCAGCCGTGACAAAACGTAATATCCGTCCTGCCGGGCTTGTTTTCAAAGCACTTGCACCGCTTTCGAGTGAACGGACCCACTGAGATGGGGAGCCCAGCTCTGGCCAGGTGCGGCCAACTGGGGCCCGGAAAAGCTCCTCACTCAAAAAGGCGCCATGGCACCGTCGCATTCCTTTCAGGAATTGCCCGGTCCTATTCCTTGCGCGGCGGCAAAGGCCTCTCACATTGTGGCCACCCAGGACATAGAGTCCCTGCCGGTGCGCAGCTGCGACATGGACACCTGGCAAAGGTTCAGCAACTGTTCCGGCGGAGGCTCGTTGGAAAGGCTGTTGATGCGTGGCAAGATCTCCTCCAAGCTATGGGCGGCCTTGGCGAGTGCAAAGCTCAGGAGCAGGTCGCACACTTGCCACGAATCGGGGAGTGCTCTTCAGCTGAGGGTCCAAAAGCTTGCAGCGATGAGCCAGTAGCATGAGGAAGGTAACAACCACCTTGCGACGCGCTGTGAAGGCTCAAGCTTCACCAATTAGCGGCAAGATCAGCAGTCACAACAGATGGCACTCGACAAGACTGAGGCTGCCGCAAAGCCGGCAACCCCTTGCTCCTCGAGAAAGGGCACCAGATCCTCCAAGATGTCCACCGGCAGCCACTTGCCAAAGACAGATAGCCAGGCGCCAGGCACCACCATGCCCAAGTCCTAGGCAAAAAGGAAAGCAATTGATAGCAATTGAGCCACAAAGGTCTATTGCAATTGGGAGGCAGGCCTGAAATAAGGCGCGGGGACTTCAGACCATCCCAGGCTGATGGGGAAACAGCGATGGGCAACTGAGCTTGGAGCCAGCTTCACCTCATGGTACAGGTGGTGCAGCAACTCGGGATCTTTGCTGGCCAGCATAGCTTCAACCGCCGGCACGCCCCGCTCCACCAATGGGAACCCTGGCATCCAAAGATCGCCTCGCGGCTGTCAGCTCAGTTTGAACTTGGCAGTGGCTTTTGGCAAAACAAGCGCAGCTCAGTGGCGCAAGTTCCGCATCAGCCCACCAAAGCGCTTGTGCTTGGACTCCAAATTACCGTTGCCCATGCACACCACAGCTGCCGCGAAGCACATGCCCTGCGTGTATCCCAGATCAGGATCCTTGACAGGGAGTGCACCACCATCGGCTTTCCGTAGGAGGGGCATCCACCAAGCCGAGTTCTGCAATGCTGAACGCACAGCCGTGACAAAGCGTGCGCTGGCCTTGAATCAATCAGCTGTATAATGGTTTCTCCCCAACAGTGTGACACAACCCTCGCCTCAATAACCACCCTTGCGGGCCTGTCCGACCAACCTGATCTAACCCTTCCAACTTCACCACGCCAATGAACGAGCTTGTTTTCATCCGGGCAAGCTGGCCAAAGTGAGAAAGCACCAAGAGATGACCACTATGATCATCCCCGCTCCAATCCCACTGTTGTCCTTCCCCTCATCTCAATGACCTGCCCCGACTCATGCCACAACATGAACGAATCAACACCTTGAGCCGACCCCTCCAATCTGACCTCACCATCTTGGACATCCCTGATTCATCAACTCCAGCTTGATTCGTAAAAGGATATGGCAGATAGCTCATAAATACGTTCTAAGTGTCCCCCTGCCCGTTGATCTATCAGCAATCCTGACCTCTGTGGGGTTACGAAAGCCAGAACATCTCACCCGACGCCCGGCCAAGTCGAGTGCTCCTCGCGCGCGTAGGCTCGCAGCACCTCCGCGATCTCCAGGCGCACGTGGTGTATCCGCTGGTGGGAGGCAAACACGCGAGAGACGTCCCGGGCGATGACCACCTCGCTTGCTCTCGACAGAGAATGGGGGAGAAGCCGAAAGTGACGCGGAGAAAAAACACATGGCCACAGGCACCAGGTTGAAACTTGACGTCTCATCGTCTTATCTAGCCTTTGGCAAAGCACAGCAAGCCCTGCCAGAGCGTCCTTAATTCTAGCTGCCCTCAAGGCACAGAATGCAGGCCATGGCACGGCAAAGCCATTGAAGCGATCATCCTGTGCAAGTATCCTGGAAGCTTCCTGCGCGTGCGGTTTGGGAAGGTGGGCCGAAAGTGATGCGTGCCACAAGCACACCAAGCTTCGCAAAGGCAAGCAAGAGGAACCAAGTGTACAAGGCGCAAATGCTGTGTTTATCGCCCATGTGAATGCTTAGAGCTGCAGCTCCTCATCTTCCAGGGCTGATTTCTCGAGTTGCGGTGAGGACAAGCACCGCTGCACAGGACCTCATGTTTCAAGTCTGGCTTGGCACATCTGTGGCCATTCGTGGCCCAAGCGGCCTTCATCAGGATCAAACATATCATCTGGCCGGAAGTCTCCTCCCACTGGGCTCAAGACACGACACCCCGCAGCGCTGTTTTTCTGCGCTGGTCAAACTGAAGAGCGGAGCTACTTAAACTTCGTTTGTTCGTTCGTTTGTTTGTTTGGTTGATTGCTGGTTTGTTTTGTTGGTTGGTTGCTTACTTGCTTCCTTGGTGCAAGTGTGAAATTGTGCGAGCTTTCCATGCGCGAATATGCGCGCGGCGCGTGTTCTCAGCTTGTGATCCTGGCAGTGGCCTTACGTGACGACTCAAACCAGCATTGCGCCACCCTGTTGCCAAAGCTCACACAGGGGCTCAAGAAGGAAATCCTAGATTGCTATTTGCGTGTTTGTGTACAATACGCAGCGGCATATATATATATATATATGTATATATGTAAAAAAAAAAAACGGAGATCCCCTTGTGAAGTCCCGATTCCCAAATCAATGATGCGACTGATGCGACTAGCTCTGAGATATCTGGACTTTGCAGTTCAGTGACTTTCTCATGGGGGAAGCCAAGCCGAGCCCAACGCATATAGCTCCTATCCAGGATGTGGGCCTATAGGTGTGGTGCGGCTGCACAAACTTGTCCTCAGCTGCCCGCTGCAACGCAAAGAAGCTGGCATCGACTTCACACCCTGCAACCACCCTGAGTAGTTGTATGTCATTGCGCACAGCTGGCTGCCCAGCATCTGCGCTGGAACAAGCTCTCCCTCGCGAGGTCACAGGCTCCGGAAGGGCCTGCATCTCTTCCTCAGCATCCCTGGCAGGCGTACAAAGACTTCAGCCCTCGCGCGGGCATGCAGTGTCAGCTGTCCTCGGCAACATTTCGCAGGTCTCGTATGGGATGCCCAGGAACTCGCGAAGCACCACATCCTGATTTGGCTTAAGGATGCCGGAGTAAAGGTGCGCAGCTCAAACAGGCATTGCTATGATGAAGCGAGACCCAGTGCCTGAAACAGCCACGGGCGGAAAACAAGAGCGGGGCGGGGTGGAGTTATGAAAGTTTGCAAACGTAGCAAATTTGTTGTGTTTCCAACATAATATGAAGCATTAAGGCTTGTTTTGGCCTGGCCGGAGCAGTCGTAGCGTGCTCTTGTCATACCCTCTAGTATTCCCTCAGTGTTTGACTAGTAGTCCCTCAATGGTATCCCTTTAGCATTCTCTTGGTACACCCTCTAGCTTGTCCTCAGTGTTCCACAAGTAGCCCCTCAATTTTGCTAGTATTCACCCTATTCCCCCGGTCCGCCCTTAGCATTCTCAAAGTATTCCCCAAATATTCCCTCATCATTCGCCCAGTATTTACAAGCGTTCACCCTTAGTACTGATGTAACAAAGCCGGTTTCGCGCTTTCATTGCATGATGTAGCAAAAAGTAGTCTGAGACTCTAGGGCCTGTCTGCCTGCCCACCGAAGGTTGGTGGGGACGCACCTGATGTCATCTGCGCACAGTTGGTCACGAGGCGGTCCACGGCCTTGTCTGCTGCGTTGGCTTCGCTTGCCGCGTGACTCTTGGCCGCTGTAGTTTTCACCAGCCATAGCTCGTCATCATGATGAGGATCTCGCTCTGGCAATCCTAATCCTGACTTCGTAGAGGTCTGACTACCGTTGCAGGCTGCCGGAAACGCATCTCTGGTCAGGGAAGTCGCCACCATGCGCCCGCTGCCGGATGAAGGCGGTCTGCGTTTCCAAAAGGCAGGTTTGCCCTTGACCATGATTCTGGTGTCTTTGCTGCGGAAGACCAGGAGTTGCCGTGCGTCAAAAGACTGGCGGTCCCCCACTTTTTCTTCTTCTCCAGCTCGGCAAGTGGGTAATTAGTCGTCTCTCAGGGCGGCCTGGAAGCCGTCTGCGTGCACTATGGCGTGGCTCTGGACACGCCTACAAACGCCAGGCCAAGGCACTTGAGCGACAACGTCGAACACTCAGCCATCACGCACAGTCAGGCCTTGACTCTTGCGCGCGGTGTTCCCGTGCGCCAGCACGATGGGAAACTGCGTGCGGCTGAAGGCCGGATACTGCTGGTGTCGCACGGTTGCCTTCTGGACACCTCTTGATGAACAACATCTTGTCGCGCATCTGCTTCAGCGTGCGGATCACATACTTGATCCATCTCTTCGGGGCTGATGCGAAGCAGGCGCCGGCACCAAAAACTAGCAACAAACGACACACAATTAACATAATTGACAACAGCAACAACCAACAACAGCAAGCTCCCGACAAAAACCGACAAAAACCAACAAGATCCGTCAAAAGCGCAAAACTGCGCCAAGAGGAACAAACTGTTCCCCTACATTCTGTCCCCCAAACTCATATTAAGGATGATGGACTGATGGTCGCGGCTGCCTCTTTGCCGTGAACCTGAGCACGTCGATGATTTCCCCCCAAATCCATCTCC